GCTCCTGGGCCCTGCGGAAGGAGAGAAGGTTGAGCGACCCCTCCCCCCTCCCCAGGCCCCGCCCCCGCCGCCAGGCCACGCCCCCAACCCAAAATTTGGGGGGGGGGAGGAGGGGGGGTGAGACCCCTCCCCCACCCAACCGCCACCCCTCCCCCCCCTCACGGCGGGGTGGGGGAGGGGAACACGGGGGGTTTTGGGGGGAAAAAGGTGAGTTTTGGGAGCGGGCGGAGACGGCGCCGAAATTTGGGGAGAATTTGGGGGGTTTGTCCCTGAATTTTGGGGGTTTGTTCCCAAATTTGGGGAGAAATGCAGAATTTGGGGGATTTGTCCCCAATTTTGGGGGTTTGTTCCTAAATTTGGGGGGTTTGTCCCCAAATTTGGGGAGAAATGGAGAATTTGGGGGGGTTGTTCCCAAATTTAGGGAGAAATGGAGAATTTGGGGGGTTTGTCCCTGAATTTGGGGGGTTTGTCCTCAAATTTGGGAAGAAATGGAGAATTTGGGGGATTTGTCCCTGAATTTTGGGGGTTTGTCCCCAAATTTGGGGAGAAATGCAGAATTTGGGGGATTTGTACCCGAATTTGGGGGTTTGTTCCCAAATCTGGGAAGAAATTGAGAATTTGGGGATTTTCCCCTGAATTTAAGAGAGAAATTCAGAATCTGAAGGGTTTGTCCCCAATTTGGGGGGATTGTCCCTGATTTTTGAGGATTTGTCCCCAGATTTGGGGAGAAATTGAGAATTTGGGGGCCTTGTCCCTGAATTTGGGGGATTTGTCCCCAAAAGTGGGAAATTTGTCCCTGAATTTGGGGAGAAATGGAGAATTCGGAGAGTTTTCCCCTGAATTTGGGGAGTTTGTCCCTGAATTTGGGGAACTTGAGGGGTTTGACCCCAAATTTTGGGATTTTGTCCCTGAATTTAGGCAGAAACAGAAAATTTAGGGGGTTTGTACCCAAATTTGGGGGATTTGTCCCTAAATTTGGTTCGTTTCTCCCTGAATTTGTGGGTTTTCCCCCAAATTTGGGGATTTTGCCCCCGAATTTTGGGGTTTTTGGCAAAATTCGGGTTTAACTCCTCGAATTCCCCTCCGCCCTCCCAAAGCCCCACATTTGGGGCCAAAAGGGGAAATTTGGGACTTTGGAGCTTCAATTAAGGCAGGAGGGGGGAAGGGGGAGGGAAATTTGAGGGGGAATGGGAGAATTTGGGGGCTGGCCCCAAAATCTGGGGGAAATCCATGAAAATCGAGATTTTGGGGGAGAAAATGGAGGAAATGAGATGGGAGCTACTGGAGCCAGGAGAGAACGCGGGAATTTGGGATTTAGCCCCAAAAACCGCTCCTGGACCTGATCAAAAACCCCCAAAATGTACCTGGAACTGATCAAAAACTCCTAAAAACCCCCAAAACCACCAGGAAATGATCAGAAACCCCTAGAAACCCCAAAAGCCACCTGGAAATGATCAGAAAACCCTAAAAACCCCCAAAACCACCAGGAACTGATCACAAACCCCTAAAAACCCCAAAAACCACCTGGAAATTATCAGAAACTCCAAAAAAACCCCAAAAACCACCTGGGACCACCCAAAAACCACCTGGAACAACCCCAGAAATTACCAAAAACCACTAAAAATCACCAAAAACCCTGAAAAATCCCCAAACACCGCCCGGGACCTCGCAGGTGGGGAAGAGGCAAAAACTGGACCTGAAAAGGTCCCAAAATTGGGGGGAAAAGGGAAAAACGGAACCTGAGCTCCCAAAATTGGGGGAAAAAGGGAAAAAACCAATCCTGAGCTCCCGAAATTGGGGGGAAAAGGGAAAAAACCAATCCTGAGCTCCCAAAATTGGGGGGAAAAGGGAAAAACGGAACCTGAGCTCCCGAATTTTGGGGGAAAAGGGAAAAACGGAACCTGAGCTCCCAAAATTGGGGGGAAAAGGGAAAAACGGAACCTGAGCTCCCAAAATTTGGGGGAAAAGGGAAAAACGGAACCTGAGCATCTAAAATTGGGGGGAAAAGGGAAAAACCAAACCTGAGCTCCCAAAATTGGGGGGGAAAGGGAAAAAACGGAACCTGAGCTCCCAAAATTGGGGGGAAAAGGGAAAAATGGGAATTCCTGCCCCCCGCCGTTAATTAAGCCTTGAAGGGGATTAATGAAAGCTTCTGGGGGATTTAATTAAAGCTTTTGGGGGGTTTAATTAAAACTTCTGGGGGTTTAATAAGCTCCCAAAGCCAGGCTTGGCCACGCCCCCAAGTGTAGCCCCGCCCCTCGCTGCTTTATTAACCCTTAATTAGTATTAATTAGTCCCTTAACGATTAGCCACGCCCCCCGTGTTAATTATGCAAACGAAGGCCTCCAAGGGGAGTGAATTAGGCCCAGCCTGGCGCGCAAGGGGTTAATTAATTAATTAATTAATTAAGCCGAGGGTGTTAATCAGGGCTAAGCCACGCCCCCACCCCCGCGGGGTCAGCCCCGCCCCCGCAGGGGCTGATTAATTAATTAATTACCTCGGGGAGCCGAACCCCGCCCCCGCAGGGCTTAATTAAACACGGAGCGCCCTAATTAATTAATTAATTACCTCGGGGAGCCAACCCCGCCCCCGCAGGGGTTAATTAAACCCGGAGCGCGCTCGTTAATTAACTGGGGAGCCAAACCCCGCCCCCGGCGGGGTCAATCCCGGCCCTGAAGGGGTTAATTACCCCCCCAGCCGAGTCATTAGTTAATTACGCTGAGCAATTAGTTCATGAGGGCGCGGCCCCGCCCCCCCGGCCCCGCCCCCCCGGCCCCCCCCCCCCCCCCCCCCCCCCCCCCCCCCCCCCCCCCCCCCCCCCCCCCCCCCCCCCCCCCCCCCCCCCCCCCCCCCCCCCCCCCCCCCCCCCCCCCCCCCCCCCCCATTTCCCGCCTCGCTCCCTCACGCGCCGCCGCCATTTGCACCCCCCAAACCTCCCCCGCGCCCCCGGGCGGGTCCTCCCGCCCGCGGAGCCTCCCGCAGCCCCCCGGGACCCTCCCGGAGCCGCCCCCGCTGCCCCCTCACCGCTCCGGGCACCGCTGCGCTGCCGCCGCCGCCGCCGCCGCTTCCTCCGGGGGCCGAGCGCAAAATGGCGCCCGCGCCGCCCTCAGCGCCGCCAGCGCCGCCGGGCCCGCCCACGCCGCCCGTTGCCGCGCGGCGATTGGCTGAGACGGCTGTCAATCCAGCGCCGAGCCAATGGCAGCGCGCGGAGCGGCGCTGCGCGGGAAGGGGGAGGAGAGGCGGCGGGGGGCTCGGGGGGTGGTGTCGATCGCGCTGATTGGCCGAGCGCGCTGCCAGTTATTCCGCTAGACCAATCGGAGCCCGGCGCACGGCGGAGGGCCCGCCCCCCGAGGCGCGCGGGGAGATGGGCGCATGCGCAGCCGGCCGCCGTTGGATCAGCGGGAGGGCGGGGCGAAGAGCTCGGTGCGGGCTCTGATTGGGCGAAGGGAGACGTGGGAGGTTGGTGATTGGACAGCGGCGCTGTCAGTCAGGCGGAAGGGGCGGGGCCCACTTCGCGCTGGTTTTGGGGCCTTTTAAACTGGTTTGGGGTGATTTAAACTGGTTTAGGGAAATTAAAACTGGTTTGGGGTGATTTTAACCGGTTTGGGGTCATTTAAACCGGTCTGGGCCCATTTTAAACTGGTTTTACCCAATCCCGACACCTTTCTCCCCATTTTTCTCAAGTTTTCCAATTTTGTCCTCATTTTTTCCATCTTCCCCCCATTCTTTCCCACTTCTGCCCAATTTTCCCCAGATTTTCTCAATTTCCCCCATTTTTCAAATTTCCCCTCCGTTTTTTTCCCAGTTTTCCCCAATTTCCCCAATTTTTCCCAATTTCCCCCTATTTTTTCCCCAATTTTGCCCAATTCCCCCATTTTCCCCCCCACTTTCCCCTTTCCCCCCATTTTTCCAATTTTCCCCAATTCCTTTCCGAATTTCCTCCCTCATTTCCCCCAATTTCCCCCCAGTTTTCCCAATTTTTCCCAATTCTCCCACTTTCCCACAATTTTCCCACCATTTTTTCCCAATTTCCCCCATTTTGCCCCATTTTCCCCCCTTTTCTCCCCATTTTTCGCATTTTTTTCCCCGTTTTTCCCAATTCCCCCCATTTTGCCCAATTCCCCTCGATTTTTTCCAATTTTTCTCAATTTCCCCCCAATTTTCCCCAGTTTTTCTCATTTTTCCCACCATTTTTCCCAATTTCCCCCGTTTTTGCCCCATTTTTCCCTTTTGCCCCATTTTCCCAATTTTTTTCCCATTTTTCCCCAATTTCCCCCATTTTTCCCCAATTTTTTTTCCAATTCCCCCCATTTTTCTCATTTTTCCCACCATTTTTCCCAATTTCCCCCATTTTTGCCCCATTTTCCCCCTTTTGCCCCATTTTCACAATTTTTTTTCCATTTTTCCCCAATTTCCCCCATTTTTCCCCAATTTTTTTCCAATTCCCCCCATTTTTCTCAATTTTCCCACCATTTTTCCCAATTTCCCCCGTTTTTGCCCCATTTTTCCCCATTTTTCCCAATTTCCCCCGTTTTCGCCCCGTTTCTGCCCCGGCGCGCAGGAATTCCCGTTTTGGTTAGAAAACCTTAAAAAAACGAAATTTTTATTGAATTTTTGGAAAAGAGCCGCGGGGGGGGGAGGGGGCCCGAACCCGGGGGGGAAAAACCCCAAAAAGGGGGAAAATCCCCCCAAAATGGGGGGACCCCCATAAATACAGAAACCGGGGGAAAAAACGCGGATTTTGGGAAAATCGGGGAAATCCGGGGGTTTTCGGCACCGATTTCTGGTGGGAAAATCTCGGGGAATCTCCCCAAAAACCCCGCGGGGAGAAAAAAAAAAACCAAAATCCCCGAATTTTCACCCAAACAACAAAACTAAAAAAAATTCCAAAAAAACCCCCAAAAACGGGCGGGGCCCCAAAATCCGCGGGAATCGCCCCAAAATTCCAGAGGGGGGGGGAAAATGGGAAAAAAAACAACAAAAAGGGGAAAAAAGGTGAAAAAAACGGGGAAAAAAGGGGAAAAAAGGGGCGGGACGGGGGCGAAAAGGCCCGGGCGGTTTTGGGGTGAAAAGCGGCGATTTTGGGTCCCGTCACTTCCGCTTCTTCTTGGGGGGGTGGGGCCGGCCCCGGCCGGGGGGGCCCTTGCGCTTCCGGCCCCGCCCCCGCTCCTCCTCCTCCTCGTATTGGCTCTCGCGGTCGGCTGGGCGCCGTTTGGGGGGAAAAACGGCGATTTTGGGCAAAACGGGGATTTGGGGAAAAGGGGGGTTGGGGGGGAAAGGGGGATTGGGGGGGAAAATGGGGATTTTGGGTAAATGGGGGTTTGGGGGTGAAAAATGGGGGTTTTGGGAAAATGGGGGTTTGGGGGGGAAATGGGGGTTTGGGGTGAAAAATGGGGATTTTGGGTAAATGGGGGTTTGGGGGGGAAATGGGGGTTTGGGGTGAAAAATGGGGATTTTGGGTAAAGGGGGAATTGGGGGTGAAAAATGGGGGTTTTGGGAAAAAGGGGGATTGAAAGGTAAAGGGGGAATTGGGGGGAAAAATGGGGATTTTGGGAAAAAGGGGGATTTTGAGAAAAAGGGGGAATTGGGGGGTAAAGGGGGTTTGGGGGGGAAAATGGGGATTTTGGGTAAATGCGGAATTGGGGGTGAAAAATGGGGATTTTGGGAAAAAGGGGGATTGGGGGGAAATGGGGGTTTGGGGTGAAAAACGGGGATTTTGGGAAAAACGGGGATTTTGGGGGAAAAATGGGGATTTTGGGGGGGAAAAGGGATTTGGGGGGAAAAACGGGGATTTTGGTCAAAGGGGAATTGGGGGAGAAAACAGGGATTTTGGGAAAAAAGGGTTGAGGGGATTTGGGATTTTGGGGTGAATTCCGGGGGTTTTGGGGTGAATTCTGGGGGTTTTGGGGTGATTTCGGGGATTTTGGGGTGAATTCTGGGATTTTTGGATTTTTGGGGTGAATTCCGGGGGTTTTGGGGTTGAATTTGGGGATTTTGGGTTTTGGGGTGAATTCCGGGGGTTTTGGGGCCGCACCTTTCCGCGCCTCCTCCTCCAGCTCGTCCCAGTCCTTGCCGCTCTCCTCCTCGCTGCCCAGGGAGTCCTTGGAGTACTCTGGGCAAATCGGGGCGAAAAACGGAGAAATCGGGAAAAACGGGAAAAAACGAGAAAATTGGGAAAAAAACCCCAGGAAAAAAGGGGAAAAATGGGGTAAAAAATGGGGAAATTGGGAAAAACAGGAGAAAAAGGGGAAAATTGGGAAAAAAACACAGGAAAAAAGGGGAAAAATGGGGTAAAAAATGGGGAAATTGGGAAAATTGGGTAAAAAAACAGGAAAATTGGGAAAAAAGCCTCATGAAAATAGGGAAAAAAGGGGGAAAATGGGGAAATCGGGAAAAAAGGGGCAAACAACAGGAAAATCGAGAAAAAAGGGGGAGAATGGGGCAAAAAATAAGAAAATCGGGGAAAAAAGGGGCAAAAAAAGGGAAATTCGGGAATAAAGAGGAAAAATGAGGCAAAAAATGGAGAAATTGGGAAAAAAAGGGGCAAAAAAAAGGGACATTCGGGAAAAAAGGGGAAAAATGAGGGAAAAATGCAGGAAATCGGGAAAATTGGGGAAAACATTTTTTTACCCCCGCCAGGTGTGCCCAGGTGAACCCAAACCCCCAAAAAATCCCCACTTTTAACCCAAATTTCCCCATTTTTAACACAAAAATCCCCATTTTTAACCCGAATTTTGCCGTTTTTCCCTTTTTTTCCCCCCAGGTGAGCCCAGGTGTGCCCAGGTGAGCCCAAACCCCCATTTTTAACCCGAATTTCCCCATTTTTAACCCGAATTTCCCCATTTTTAACCCAAATTTCCCCATTTTTAACCCCCAAATCCCCATTTTTAACCCAAATTTCCCCATTTTTAACCCGAATTTCCCCATTTTTAACCCGAATTTCCCCGTTTTCCCCCCCAGGTGTGCCCAGGTGTGCCCAGGTGAGCCCAAACCCCCATTTTTAACCCCCAAACCCCCATTTTTAACCCGAATTTCCCCATTTTTAACCCGAATTTCCCCATTTTTAACCCGAATTTCGCCGTTTTTTCCCCGTTTCCCCCCCAGGTGTGCCCAGGTGAGCCCAGGTGCGCCCACCTGACTCCTCGGCCTCGGAGGAGTAGTCCTCGTCGCTGTCCTCCTCCTCCTCCTCGTCCTCCTCCGAGGGGTTGAAGGTCTCGTCCTCCAGCTCCGACTCCGACTCGCCCGGCTCCGCCTCCGAGCCCTGCAGGTGCACAGGTGAGACACAGGTGAGACACAGGTGAGGCGGACAGGTGGGACAGGTGAGATACAGGTGAGATGGACAGGTGAGATGGACAGGTGAGACAGGTGAGATATGGACAGGTGAGATTGGGACAGGTGAGATTGGACAGGTGAGATGGGACAGGTGAGACAGGTGAGATATGGACAGGTGAGATGGGACAGGTGAGATTGGGACAGGTGAGATGGACAGTTGGGACAGGTGAGGGACAGGTGAGACAGGTGAGATATGGACAGGTGAGATGGACAGGTGAGATACAGGTGGGAGGGGACAGGTGAGATGGGATAGGTGAAATTGGGACAGGTGAGATACAGGCGAGATTGGGACAGGTGAGGGATGGACAGGTGAGCCAGGTGAGAGACAGGGCAGGGATTTGGGTGTCTTCCAGGTGTTCCCCAGGTGTTCCCCAGGTGTGCCCAGGTGTTCCCAGGTGTATCCCAGGTGTGCCCAGGTGCGCAGGTGTGCCCAGGTGTCCCCAGGTGTGCCCAGGTGTGTTCCCAGGTGTCCCCAGGTGTTCCCAGGTGTGCCCAGGTGTGTCCCCAGGTGTTCCCAGGTGTTCCCAGGTGTGCCCAGGTGTGTTCCCAGGTGTTCCCAGGTGTCCCCAGCTCTCCCCAGGTGTGCCCAGGTGTGTTCCCAGGTGTTCCCCAGGTGTCCCCAGGTGCCCCCAGGTGTGTTCCCAGGTGTGCCCAGGTGTTCCCAGGTGTCCCCAGGTGTGCCCAGGTGTTCCCAGGTGTTCCCAGCTCTCCCCAGGTGTGCCCAGGTGTGCCCAGGTGTCCCCAGGT